CCATGAATCACGAGGCAATATTTTTAATATGCACTCTGATGTTTAGAGATAAAACAATCAGTCGTTTGAGAAGTAGGAAACAGAATTTCTCCGAGGACAAATTAGAATAGAGAAGCTCAAACACATGCTTGCACCAGACACAAGTGTTACCAAGGTAGCTCTATTCCGGCTGTTTACATAATGTACAAATGCTGTGAAAACATTCAAAACGCGAAAATATGCTCCTTGGTAACAGACGTTCAGAGGCAAGCATCTGTTTGCCATGATTCCTCTTCGAGCCCATACAGATCAGTTTAAAGGGATAGACATTTAATTTCAGAGAAAATGGATATCCGGAAAGGTTCACCGAAAGAAATACAAGCCCGTTCCGGGAAACTCCGAAGAAGATTAGTGGACTTTCGGCGCGTGCTGTAAGAGGAACGTTTGATGCGGTCANGAGAACATCCAGTAAAGACCGTTTACCTACGCTCGATTCATCAATGGTTATCTATTCCCTTTGTTGTACCGCAACCCACAATGACTGAACGGTGAACTGCCTCCGCGGATTAACGAACACTGTCCACGCTGGTTTCAACACTGTGGAAAAGTTATCAGAGGAAGCGCTATTCTCGCTCACCTCGGTTCACCAATTGAGGCCTGAATCAGCTTTCAAAGTTATCTATCGAGTACCCCCTCATCCATCCAAATGGAAGCGATTAGCATCCGTTTGTTCATCCCCAATCTATGTGCACAAAACAGACTGGCCCATGCTATCTTTGGTCGAAGATCGATCGCACGGATGACCTGATTGCAGTGTTGTTGTTGTGACCGCGGGGTGTGAAACAAGTCGCACCATTTACCCCCCCCTCCCCCATTCGTAATCCCTCGCCCTCCCAACCAATCACGGTGACCTTTGAGCGACCAAATCTTTGTCTCCTTTTCACATGCTATTTACTTTTGATGATCTGTACAGGCTAGAAGATGAAACAAGGAAAACAATTGTTCCTGTGAAAGTGAGATCCAACATGCACTCTACCAACCTGCTTTTTTCTTGGGGGGGACGGGGGGACGGGGCGGGGCGGGGCTGTTTGTTAGTTGTCCACACTCCGATGTGGATCAGCCAAACAACGAATTGTTGTGATTCTCCAAGTCATGTGACATGCATTCAGCCAGTTCACACTTACCGGGAGTTTGATAGCCTGTCGGGCTTCCGTCCACTTTACCATTCGTTTCCGAGAATGTGGACAGTTTCGGGTTCATCAGCGGAGTTTTCAATGTATTGTCCGAATTGACCAGGGTGATTGACATGTCATTCCTCAGTTGCTTCGGTCGTCTTCGCCTGATCGCGCCGGACGGGGACAGGGACGGACGGACGGACGGACGGAGGGGTGGGGGGAGGACAGAAATCAATGATAGTAGTGATGTCCCCTTTCTCATCATATGAACGATTAAGGAAAAGAGGATAATAAGTTTTATACAATATTTCAACGTTTTTAAAAAAAAATTTAAAATGAATGAAGGCTTACTCAATACGTTTGAATGAAATAAAATAATGACATTGGATGCCGAAGTCAATCCACGGAGAAAAATCGATCTGAAGACGTTTATCCACGTATTACACTGATACCAAATGGATTGAACAACTCCAATAGCAAACCATTCAGTTATTTCTTCTGTTCATTCAACCAGCATGAGACGAGTTATTTATTATTTTTTTTTACTTAAGTAACCGACGAGACACTGTGTTATGTTCACTCATTGAAGATACCTGGGGAATATTGCTGCATTGTGTCGTAACTTCGGAATCATTGAAGAATCAGTAGACATGAGCATGATGGGGAAAAAAACCGGTGAGCGGTCACGTGGATAAGAGTTTAGCATGCTGTCCGTAATACACCGGGTTCGAACCTCAACCAAAATAAATTGTTTACACTCCGAATGCTAACTATCAGAGATATTTTATTACAAGCAAGTGAATACAGTAAACGGGTAAACCCCATACGTATGTGGGAAGGTGGGGGGGGGGGATATTTTGAGCTAGAAACAGCTTGTTGACTTCGCGTTTAGAGGCGAGGATGTTGTATGTTGGCGGGAAGACTGAAACCGATAGAGTGTTTCAAAGTTGTGCTGTTCGCCCCGGGAAAACAGATCACTGAAAGTCAGAAATGCGATACCTGGGGGGGATAGTCACTTGAACTGGGTGGCTAGTCGCTTGTGCGCGGGATCTATGAGGCGGGTGAACAAGCCGGGAGAGCGACAGATGCGGAAAGTTTATTAGAGCAAAATCCAAAGTAGTATCGACAGAAATAAGGATAAAGAAGCGACTGCCCGACGGTGAGCTAGGGATTGGAAGTCACCTGTTAGGGGCGGGTCGTTGACGGGACGGATGGTCTTACGTTGTGTGATAGTTGTACGAGCGAGCTGCGGAATGATTGGAGCTCTCATCCCACGTTGAACTTGATCACGAAGAGAAAGAGATGAACAAAGCTCCAACCCAACACAGGACTGTGATAAAGCGAGAGGAGGTGAAAAACCATCTGGCGCGGATCAGGAAGCCAATTGTGCGAGCAGTGCGAGAGAGAAGTAGACAAATATATATATATATATATATATATATATATAG